TTTTATAAGCACATTGCATAGCAAATGTATTAACATTTATTTTCGGCTCGTAAACGGATCTGTGATTGCTCGGGCGTCAGTTTCGATATCTCTATAGATGTAATAACGAAGTCAAACAAGTTGATTTTTCCTTATCCAGGCTTAGATCTTAATCACGTTTATAATATAAAAAAGCAGCGTGCAATAGAGTAAAAACAAATGCTAGTGTCAGCTGTTAATCGCATGTATTATAGAAATACAATCAATAAATGTACACGGTTGTAACTTGAAGAACATATTTCGCGAATAATTTATTAAAACGGACAACTAAATACCGGTTTAATTCTTAACTGATGGGTATTGAAGCACTAGTTTATTGTCCGATTCCGAAAACATCACCGATAAAAATTCCAAATAGGATGCGATCCGACCCTCGTATACGCTACCGATCTCATCTTATATTTTTAGCGCCGTCGATACGATTTTCAAAAAGACACACCCATTGTTGTATCGCGTGTAACATCAAGAGACAGGAATTAAAAATACTATCCTTTTGAAATTCCATCGCTCTTTCGTAGGAGTTTTATTTCCGTTCGAACCGTATTACTAAACACACCTTCAACCGTTTGCCAATTAGGATACCTGTGTTCGAATTCCGTGAAGTCTGCATAGCTGTTCTTAAAACGCAATTGCCCTAAAAAATTCACAAACATCGCCACTTAAAAATGTTCCAAACGGTTTTTCGTTTATGGGTTTTCAAGTATCACTTTATGGACAATCATTCGTAGTTTCCTTCGTGCACAATCTTTCTTAGAAGATTTTTTTACTCATTATCTCGTTTAATATTGTTCTGGAAAAGTAACACGATCACACAAGTTTCGTCAATGGCGTTTAAACAAATTCATCTCGTGATGATGCTGATAAAAATTATTATCCGTTTCACAAAACAAAACTATTATCATATAATCGATTTCATCTAAACAATTCAAAAAAACATTTTGAAAGAAGTACCGAATATGTAAATAAATATATATTGTTTGATGATAAAACTTAGAATAATATATATTTATATATCCTCTTTGTTGATTCGCATTAGACAAATCTCGGAAGTGTTAACAAATGCAAAATTTTCAAAGTTTTTTTTTTTTTGTATCATTTTAGTAAAATCATAAGGTTTTATTCATTTTACTTGATTTCGTTAATTTCATTCGTTCGTTTCAATTTTTCAGAACACTCATCTAAGTCATATCATTCATCACGCACGTTTCACTTACCGAATCATCAAAAATGGTTTTATTTCTTCTATTTAAACAGTTTCTCTAATTCCAATACGTTGGTTTGATTCCTCTATTTTCTCTAGTGGCCATCATTACAGTGCTTCATACATAACAACTGGCCGGATGATTTTTTTTTTATACGATTGCACTTAGGCGCTTGGAGAAGACGCTTAAACTCGATATAGCTGTATCAGCACATAAACAAGCAAGTGGTCTAATAAAATGCATGTCTTCAGCATCACACTTTTATCTAAACTTCATCACTTCCCTGATTACATTTTATCCTTTTCTAGTACCAGATTAAATAAAATCGATGAGTCGCTTAATCGTTCATTGGGATTTTGTGATCATTTCTGTGAATGTTACATGAGTAATAATATTTTTGATAGAATTATTAAAAACGTATAAAATTGATCAATATTTTTTTTTTTTTTATAGATAACCGGTGCAAAAATAAAATCATTACAATTTTGAATAATTTGCTACGCGTCACACATTGTTTTAAATGTTGCTTTAGTTAATTTGCTTTTTATTTAGTTCCCATTTTTTTCTTCAAATCTCTGGTCTGGATGTGTCTTTCATTTCACGATAATATTATTTATTATTCATCATTGGATTTTGTATTCCACCCGCCCGAAATTCTAGTGAAATTCTAAGTAAGTTACTTTTTATTTTTTTTATGTATGCATAAATATTTGTAAATATTTTTTCGCTCTGCAGACTGACCTAAAAACATTTTTTCCCTTTTTTTTTTAAATAGATCGGCCAATTTATTCAAACGATGAAAATATAAATTTATATATTTCGAGTGTGCGTGAAAAACAAACTTTATTCCGAGTGGAAAATATTTGAATAATTTATTATCATCTTATATATATAACAGAAAATATTCTCCTTATTATACCAGTTTTCAAATACACATAAAAAAAAAAAAAACTTAAAATATTTTTTAAAAGTAGATATTTTCTACCAGTTGATAAACAATTAAAATCTTACTTTATAATATTGTACGTCCAATATTTTTTTTTTTTTTTTGGTATTATATTAATAATATATTATGTCGTTCGATCGAAAAAATGTAATCATGAAATTTCCCGAAGATTTAAAAAAATAAAAATAAAAAAAATAGCATTATATTAATATTTCAAGAGGATTTAAAGTTTTCTTTGAGAAGATTAAATGGTTTAAATATATAATACTATTATTAAATTGTATTAGGTATGTAGTTTTTGCTGAGATTCCGCATTTTTAATATGAATAAATATCATTATATATTAAAAAAAAAATTAAATTAATAATACATTAATCTCGACTCGCAGCAGACCGGAAAACAATATAACCGAGAAAAAAAATATTTTCAGACAGCCACAGCGCTCGTAAATAAGCATTGAGATATTTAATATTTAAATTTAAGCAATATCATATGGCGCAGATGGTTTCCGCAAAAAAGTGATGAATTATTTTTCGTCGGCAATGTACTAAATGTGCTGTAAACGCGGTCGGGTTGATTGCCAACATTTATACAATAGGTACTTAAGTACTTTGGGCCAAGGAATTTAGTAAATAAAAAATATTTTTTAATCGTTCAAATATTTACTTACACATAAAGAAACAACAGAAAGCAGACTGTAGATAGAATCCTTGAAAAGTTTTGAAATCAGCAATCAACATCCATATATTAAAAATACTGTACGAGGGTGAATAGTATTTTTTTAACTACCGCCATGAAATATCTGTGTACATCGTGAATTTACGCGATAGTATAACACAATTTCGCGTTTGATTCAAAATCATTTAATATTGTCGCGAATTTGTGTCACGCGTAATTCATGGTACGAACAATCAATATTTCATGGATCTATCAATAAAATAATTTGCCCTCTATTAGTATAATATGGCTGCCTATAATACGGTTATATCTAACTATATGACGTAAACAGTTGTCATATTATACATTTGTATGCATACGTTAATATCTTCAGAAGCGGTAACTATGACAAGGGATATACACCCTCCCCCTCCCAAAAAAAAAAACCGAAATCATATTTACTCAAAATCTCGCGGTATGAACAATCGCCATGTAGATTTGCAATACCTAAGGTAATCGTTCCGTAATAACCGGCCGCAATAAAATGGCTTGAAAAATTTGTTATACGTCTGTGATTTCTAGAACTGTTGGTATTGATGTTAGTATAATTATTATGGCTACTATTTCCTATTTATCTGTATTTTATTTTAGTTTATTACTTGTTTACTTAGTTGTCCATTTATAATATTTATTTGTTTGTTTAATTTTATCAATATTTCTCTCATATCGACTAGTCGAATATGTCGTGTACATAAATAAATAAACAAATCGTTCCGTATAGCGGAAAAAATGTCGGGGGGGCTATATTTACCAAAAATTGAGGGACATTCCCGAAAACTAACTAAACCCAACTAAGCTTTCGGAAAAACCATCATGGGGACAGAAGACTTCCGAAATGTTAAACTCCTATGCACATATTTTGTTTGTACGGCCAATATTAAGGTGCGGTCCGTGGGGCTAAACAGTTTACAATAGTTTGTATGGTCCGTACCTAATATTGAGTCGAAAACCACTGTTCTACGACCGTGAATTTAAAAAAAAAATTGATACACACCAATTTTAAGTTTGAGTGGGGTGAAAGCAGTGGGGTATCGTCTGTGAGGTGACGCGGCGCGCGGAGTACTCCACTACATTCCACCTGCCTAAACACGATAAGGTTACCGTTTTAAAATGACGGGTAGGTAGTGGTTTCACACCCGAAAACGAGGACGACAAACTATGACGGTTGTGTAACATTTTTAGATTTGCTTGCGGTTTTTTCGAATTGCCAACGCGTCCGTTTGTTTTTAAAAAGTCAACACTTTACGAAACAATGAGCGTCCGACGATAAAAGAATATACGGCGTCGTAGACGAACGCCGGGCCGCCGGCGGCGAATAAATCGAAAAACGAATAAAAGAATAGAAAGGAGAAGCCGAAAGGCGATTCGCTGAAAATGTTTTATACAGTGTGCGAACAGCGCGTGCATCGGCCGTATTCGGCGGAATTTATGTACGGTTCGCGAGGCATTTATATTGAGACGTTCACGAAACGGGCCGGGCCGCAACCCGTACGGCGCACACGACGACGGGCGAGAGCTTTCGGACAATTATCACGTACGTTGTCGGCCGTAAAATCTGACGTTAACGTCCGGGAGAGTCCGTGCGGCGGCCGCGTAACGGCACAGTACTTGTGTAATGTATGTGCAAATGCGCACAGCGCGTCCGGTGTCGGTGTAGTGCACGATTAATGTTACGTGCGTATGTATTCGTTTGCGAACATAATATATTCGATGACCCGCCGGGATGAGCGCTGCTCGCGGGGGGCGGCGCCGACCGGGTGCAGGCGGACGTGTTTTACGTACCCTACGTGTTTTTCGTTCCGAATGTTTACATAATAAAATAATATCTCGGGGATATTCCGGCCGGCCGACTCTCCCGAGACGAACCGTAAAACGAAGGCTACGCCGGCCGTTCTCTGGCCGTTGGTGTATTCGTTCGCTCCCTCTACCACTACCCGCCCACCACCCGCCAGCAACCTTATCTCTCCTGACCTTCACATACCGCCGTGCTCGACAAGAAGAACGAAAACGTCTACGGAAAACTCACGGTCCCGTTCGAAAACAAGGCGGAGAACGCGACGAGAGACGAAAACGATCCACGATCCGTAAAGGCTTGTATGCAACAGGCCGACTACGGGATCGTTCCTAAAAGCAAAGCGGTCAGAGTTGGCCGGCCGACTCTGGCGAAACATCCCGACGAAATGGCGACCAAGGGGAAGACCTCGCCGGCGATGATTAGATACGGCGAAAAAGAATATCTCAGCGACCGACGAGGCGATCAAGGCGATTGGACGATGTAATATGGACCGGAACGGATGGAGAAGTTCGGCAGAGGCGCGCACGAGACGTTAATGCCGTGTATAGCGCTAAGAAAAAAAAAAAAAAACCCTACAAAAAGTAATTTATAAACGTGTTATTATATGATATCGTTGTTTAATTCGTTCTAATCATTATCGCGTGAACCCTCGGGTCGTCCCGTAAACGCGTTCGCCAGATATTTTGCAATACTATGTGATATGGAACTCGGGTTTGAAACCCCCCCCCCTCCCCCCGAAGATAAGGTCGGAAAAAAAAAATATATATATATATAGGAAGACGATTCTTCCCGGAGCGGTAGAGAGCACGCGGCATTATCGCGGAGAATAATATAATTACATTTTCGCTTCTGCCCGAGATAAGGCGGTCGCGCACGTATATACAGTGTGACGACGTCTGCTTATATATATATACGACTTTTAACGATCTATGGCCTCGCGACGACGGCGACGGCGTGGCGATACTATTACGATAGACGGAGAAAAAAAAAAAAAAAAAAGGGGAAAAGAAGCGCATTACCTACGTATATACATTGCGCCGTTAAAGGTCGCCGAGACCGCAACCGGGGACTTATATTATCATATCGTATACCGCGTATTGTGCGTTTCGGATCCCCCTACCCATATTCCCGAACCCGCGGCGGAAAACGACACTTGTCTCTATACACATAAATTCACGGGGACCGCGCACAGACTCCGCGAGACAGAGTTAACGACTATCTCGCCTTTTGCGCGTCCATATATACCGCGTGTTTATCGCAAAAATAATAACGCGACGGCCATTTCAAAACACCAAAAACAATAGGTTCAAACAATGCTGCGATACCAATATCCCGAACGATCGTATCTCAATATCGCCCCGACGAATTTTCCCCGAAAATCGTCGAATTTACACGTATTGCGCTAATAGCTACAATGGCAATGTGTGAAACGATATTTTTCTGTTGCGAATATTTGGCTACATCCAACGGCGCCGAACTCTACGTGAACTCTACCCGACTATTTTTTAATAAATTAAGCATACGGTCGCTTCATTTCGGGATAAACTTTGGTTGCCGAACCGAACGAATCGCTCGATTACAAAAACAAAAACCCAACTACAATTTTGGAAATAAAATGGCCCGCGTTTAGTTATTCGGGCCACTTGAAATGCATTTTGCCCGACTACATTTCCAGGACTTCGGCGCCACCGGCTAAATCTATATAACAGCGTATCAAACGAAACGCCTATCCTGTACACACATAACGTATTACAATGGTATGTTTGTACCAAACTTGAAAATTATAAAATAAAATAACTTTTCGCCATTTTCTCGTCATCAATTATCTGTTTGCTACGGACCTCCGTATACCTCCCTTTCGCCACCCAATTCTTTCAAATCTTTTATTTTCCGCAACTAACCTTATCCATGGCCATCATGATTTGTTTCGCGCACTCCTTCCTTGGTACGGCTCGTCCGATACGGCCTTTCACGTCCCTTTCTATGACACAGTAGATGCCCTATTCTTTTGTCCTTTTTAACTTCAATACTATACGCCAAAGTTATTGGCTTACCATTATTATGTCCAATATTTCCCGGGTATGTTACTCTTTCTGTCCATTGAATCTTCAGCATTATTCAATAGCAAAACATTTCAAAAGGCTCTAATTTTCTTTTTTCACTTTCAGGAACTTTTCCCTTATCTGTAGGGTCACACTATTTGTGGTTTGCTGATTTTTATTCTGTAAAGCCTTCTTTGCGCTACATCTTTTCACTTTTACTTCTAAAATTCGTTAGTTTACTTCTATGCATGCGTAAACTTTTGATACATATATATATATATATTTTTTTTTTTAAATTTAAGCTTTTAGCTGCTAAAACTAAATTTGTCTATCTTTCTCTGTTTTGTGATATGTTTCAGTCTATCTCTTTAAACTGCGTGAGTTCCTTCATGCTCCCGTACACTGTCCATCAGTATTTATTTCAGACCTTTATTCCCTAGGGGTATCTTAAATGGGTGTGCCAAAAGCAGAACCGGAACTGAGAAATTTCACACCTGGGGAAAAAATTAAGAAAATAACGCTCAATGATGGCTTTTTGTGCAGCTCGTTAAAATATATTTTCTACGAGGGAGTGATACCTCCCACCCCCTTCTGGTAACCCCCTGAAATAAGTACTGCTGTCCATCCACCTTCGGTGTAATCTTCCTGGTGGTCACGTACCTTCCATTTTTTCGCTTATTTTCATTAGTCTACCATCTGCACGCTAATCATGACTCATCCATCCTAACCCTAACGAACTGAACTACATTTCCCCTTTTATAAAGCATCTTTAATTGATTATTCGATAGTTGCGAAACGATAAAATGTCAAACAAACGCTTTTTAAACGCGGTTGAAGAATACAGGCAGACTGAGTCCCTCTTATTTTAACTCCCGAGTGTTCGCTTGAGATTTCGCACACAAACGATAATAATATGAAAATCATCGAATTGCATCGCCATATCGGGTTGGAAAAAGTACGTCATCTGCCAGTGAGCGACGGTGTTTGGATTTTTTTTATCCCATAATGGGTACAATGTTGCACGTGAAAACAGCGCTGTTTCACGATGAATGAACTTGGAGAAAATGTCCCGGTACATTACTGTCGTGAATAAATTTTTCTTTTTTTTTTCTTTTTAATCGGATTCGTTGACTGAATAATGTTTACTGCATTCGCTGGATTTAGCAATTGTCGAAGGAAAATAAAATAACAATAAATAAATTTCGAGCGATTTGTGTTCGTTCCCTTAAAGTCGTCCGTCGAATATTTAGCATCTACGCCGTCGTAGTGACACCATCGTTTTTACTCTGTGACAAAAAAAAAAAGAAGAAAGATTATACTAATTTCTATTATATTCTACATATTATTCGCACAAATTCGGGCACTTAATGGCGTTTTGTCGTACGAATCTCACAGTGTTTACATTGTGTTTCATTCTCTTTCGTCCCATAAAATATAATATTTCGCTTTACCGGCACGATTCAAAGGATTTTTTTTTTTTTTAAACATTTTATTGTACGCATTGTACACATAATATAATACAGGGTATACTATTATTTGCGATGCATAATTATTACGAATAATGGGCGTACCGGCGTATCACGTATATTATGTCATTCAGAATGAATTAGATGACGTTCTTTTGTGTGAGAATCGATAATGTAGATTTTAAAAAAAAAAAAAATGCTTTTATTAGTTTTATTATTGTGTCGATACAGTCACCTGTACAGTGGCTTAATATTTTTACCATACATATACTATGTCATATATATATATATATATATATATTATGTTACTATACATATACGTAAAAACGTATTTGAAACTTGAATGGATGGGCGATGGGTCTGGTTTATTAAAAAAAAAAAAAAAAAATATCATATACCTTCCTATTTAATAAAAACCGCTGAAATATGTTGTGGTTTTTTTTTCGTTTTGGACAATGTAAAATACAAATCTTATACCTATGTAAGTATTATGTGGACCCGAAAAAATCGTTTATAAAGCATGCAACAATACCTGTACACAATTTCAAAGATTACCGACGTCATTAATCGTTATAGTTTAATTCAAAATAAAAAAAAAAAATACTCTCCGAAACTAAAACGTCTATTTCTCTGAAGATCTGTTTTTTCATCGCCGTTCTCCCCGTCTATCCCTTTGTACCTACTGTTCGGTGACATTTTTTTCTTTATTCACGAGCCTATCATTTGGTTAATGAGTTTTTTTTTCGTTTTTTTTCTTCTTGTATTAATATAATACCGCAATTCATTGAGCACTCGAAAGCATTTGTGTATTCACGTATGTAGAAAATTATATTGCATAATATATTATACGGACAACCTTGTTTGTTAAATATTATTCCGACATCATTTGTAAGTGTTGTTGATAAATTCTTTGGTATTCATTTTTACACGTTCCTTGAACATGTTGATTTTTGGAGGGGTTTTTTTTTCGATAGTTATAATCCCCGTTACAAGTCATTAATTTACACGTACTTACGTGAATGAAACTATAGTATAGTATTTGTGTTTTTTTAAAAAAAAAAAAAGATTTGATTAAAATGTCAAATTCGATGATCCCGAGATTAATAAAATAAATTGAACTCGAAAACATATTATTAATATTATTTTCTAGTTATTTGTATAGCTATATGAAGTTTTCGTGGTTTTTTTTAGTTTTCATTTGGTTTTACGGTGATGGCACTTTTTTGGCCACTCGAAAATGTTCGTTAATTTGGCACAAGGTTTTGGCATGAGTTGGCTTCTTCGACAATTTTTCCCCAAAAATAAAGACCATTGACTGTTATATTTTCTTTCCGCTAATTTTGGACAATTTTAACAGCGGCTTTCTCTGGATAAAATGAGCTGAAACTCGGAAATTTATTGGTTTTGTATGCGGATCGACGTGATCACGTTTTGATTAAATTTCAGTACGAATTTGCGCGTCGCGAGAGAATGGCGTTTTTTTAGTACGCACAGCGTACACCCCCGTAGAAACCCCCGAATACTGTAAGTCGCGTTTTTGACTGTGATATACCCGACGATGAATTTTTAGTTCGAAACCGGTCGCATAACACACTTATCATAATACTCCAGGCCGTCGCATTGATTCATTTATTCATTTTATTTTTATGCATACGTTTTTTTTTTTTTTTTTATTTGTATATTCGTTTGCTTTATTTATTTACGGGTATTGACCGTTTTAACAATTTCGTACGTATATTTCGCATACGGTAAACGAGAATGATATTCGGGAAACGTTGGTTATTGTATCGTTTACGTTAAAATGCGTTTGTATAGTTTAAATAAGTTTATAATTATGGCGGAAACGAACGGTGTATATATCTGTGCATTGTTTTGCACATCTGTTTTAGACACACTATCTCGCACTTATCGGGCCACCCTCCAATCTAAACTGAATAATATTTTACAATATTATTTATAAACCGCCGGGCGCCGGG